AACAAGCATATAGCATTTAACATAAAACATTAACAATTGTGAATAACGGTGGAAAGAAACGAGCCAAGCAATTCGGGGACGCAGCAATTGAAAAGAGACCACGGAAGACGACGCAGAACGTAGAACGCAAAAAGAAAGCACAAACGCCATGAAGCATAAGTAGTACCAGCTAGAAGTTGATGATGTAGTTGTCATATTGTTGAAGTGCAAAAGGTGGCCAACTATTTAGCGTGATTTAAAAGCAAAGTGAGTAATACGGCGTGCCTAAATGTAGGCAATGCCTAGTTGTTTTTTTTTCTTTTTCCTAAATAATTGTATTTCATCGAAATTTTGTTGGCAAATTGAAATCTAAAAAAATATATGCTAAGCGCCAGCTAGCGATTACTTAATACCCAACTATATTATTGTTGTTGTTTACCTTAGCGCTTTTGCTGCGTTGTCGCGGTTGTGTATGTGTGTTTTCCTGTTGCCGCAATTTAGGCGCAACACCGCAGGCACAGCCGTGAGTGCCACTCAGAGAGTATACGAAACTGCGAGAGAGAGAGAGTGTTTTTGACGAAAATACGGTTGAAGAGAGCGTGTGACGCTGAGCGTTTGCGAGCGCGACGTTACGAACGCGGCACTTCGTGTGCTTGCTCGGCGCGTTAAATAGGCAGCACGGCATTGCCATTCATTCAGTGATTTGGCATGAAGCCAACTTGTTTCGAAATTATGTTTGTGGTGTATGCGAAACTGAAATGTAATGGAAACGCAAGCGAATTTTAACTGTTTATTGGCATTATTTGGTGTGTATTAAAAAGGATTCAAGTGTGCTAAAAAGTGATAATATCTAAGGTTTGAAAACAGGAAAAATGTAATTTATTGTCAGCGAGCATGCGAGTGCGCTCATATCACAGTTATATTTTCGGACGCTGCGGTAAAGTAGAGGAAAACTATTAATCATACGGTTTTAGCGGTACGCCGTGTGCGGTGAGCGATGTGCGGCGTTCCCTGGATACCGCAACTACACATACACACATACGCAAAACACAAATACATGTGAAAGCATATAATTATTTCAAATGAGCTCTAATGCAAACAATGATTTCAACAGTTAGTGTTGCCAACCAACAAACGATTTAGTTTTTTTTTTTTGTTTTTGTTCGTATATGCCGTTATAAATAATACTTATATAGCTTTCAAGAGCAGCCATTAAAATCATATTTAGCCGTGTCAGCACATATGTGCCCAACAAGTGTGTAAATGTGTGCGTGTGTGTATTGGTAACTCAACTAATTGCAGCGCTAAGATTGCTTGGACTTACTTCGAGCTTCACGCGATGTGTCACGCACACATACACACACACACGCATACTTCGAAAGTTATACTTCATGCCAACTATGAGTTGCATACCGCACTGTTGCGCTTCTCTCGCCGCACAACCACCTGAAGAGTAATGACGAAATTTGTTGCTTTCACACACACAAATACACATATACATATGTACAAATACACAGCCATGCTTATGAACACACGTAGGTTTTCAGCAACATGCACACGCATATACCTGAATTCGTGCCGTGAAATCAACAAATGTCGATATGAATAATTGAAAGTGGAAGTCTTAGTTTTTCCAACGTCCTCTATTCTTCCACGAAGGCATACATGGGGCGTTTGGCGCATTTACGTAGGCCGCTTTATGTGTGTCGCAGACCCGTAACAGGTACTTATACAAAAGCTATTTGTTGGCGCATGCAGGCGGAGTATGTACCTAAGCGCTTTTGTACACGTGTTCCGTACGAAATAAATACGTATTATTATACGAAGACAACCACCGGCTCCACGTCAACCTGGAACAAGTATCCCAGTGGCACGTACATTTTTGATTAATGAAGCAGCTGTCTACTCAACCCCATTAACATTTACCAAATATCTATAGAGGTGTGATAATTTTAACGCTCCAACGAAATTATTGCAATAAAAACGAATTTGGGTAACAGCTCGAACAAGTTTAGCGCCATTCTATAATTATTTGAAACTGCTGAAGCTCATTGAGGCGCCAGAATCAGTCCCTATAGAGTTATTTTTTAAGCAAACAAGAAAAAACGTTGACTACGCCGTCACCGGAGTCCTTTCACAGGTTTGCATCCTGCGTTTTGCTAATTCCTTCCTTCTAGCCTCGGTTTTTTTATAAACAGCCTTCAAGACGAATCAAGGCTACATAAATAGGAAACTTATTTGTGAAGGAAGATCTTTATTGAAATTTTTAATGGTCACTTTATATGACATATATATGTAACAGTAGTCCGATCTTAATTTGGCAACCCTGTGATGCAATCTGGCAACTCAAAACTGTTTATGCCTTATTTATTCAGAACAATTTGGCATAGGAGAGCTATTTATTTGACATATGGGCGCTATTTATTTAGTTTACAGTAACTTAAAATATTCATCCCGATAAAAAAATGGAGTTAAATCGCTGAAGTTTTCACGCAACTGATTGTTACTCAGCTGTTTCTTTGAAAAAAACTCTTCCTTTCGACACCATACCACTAGCACAACACGTAACAGAACATTCTGAATGGTACACAACCATTTCTGTGCCAGTTGTCTTGCAATAAACCTGGAAGACCAACTGTCGAAGACGGATCACTCTTCAAAACGTCAATGTAAGCTTTAACACATCGACTGAAACAACTACATTTTTGTGCATTCAAAACAGCGAATTAATGAGTCATCCGCCTTATAGTCCTGACTTCTCTAATTCCGAAATATAAAAGGCAACTCTAGTGTTTTCAAATTTTGTGAAGATATCTTGTCAAATGAAAAGAGTTTTCTATAGAATTGTTTGATGTGGATCGCTCAGTTGTTATGCAGTGAAGTCCTGAAAAAAACTTTGTAGAATTGTTGAATCTATAATTTAAACATAGAAGCTTTCCTATTTTCCGCTCATTACAAGGAGCACCATTTTAAATAACAAATAGCTAAAATCATGATATATTTTATGATCAATTAGAAAATTTTCTTGTAAAAAATTTCACAATTGGGACCTCATTTGATTCCTTTCATAAAACTGATTTTATGACCTCATCATGTCATCATCTCCACAACCTAGAAATTGAAATCGAAATTTGACACTTATCTCTCTGTAGCAACTGTTTCTATATCCGCTATTTCAAGTGGATGACTAAAAAGAGTCAGATTCGCAGAATTTTTGTATTGATCTAACAAAAGTAGTACATTCAAGGAGGAAGTGTCGCGATGATTCTAACTCATCTTCTTCCAAAGAGCTTATGGAGCTTACATCGAGTAATATATTCAATCTTAGTTCATGAATCCCAAACGCACACAGTCCTGTTAGAGCTCCTACAATCAGTGAGAGGTGAACAATTTTTCGATCAATGCATGGTTCTAATTCTATATCTTTTGGCTGTAGCAAATAGTATTAACAGTTTCACGAGGTTTTGAGAAGCTCATGTCATATCACCTTCTGATTCCACCAAACAGCAGGGTGTGGTATATGATGAAGATTACCTTATTACCGAATCGGTCTGTTTTTGCAGTTGATGTTGATGGTTGTCCCAGGCTTAGGATTCTTAAAATAAATCAATTTTTCATCGTCAGTGACATTTCGATACAAAATTGATTTTCTTTCGTGTCTTCGCAGCAAAATTTCACAAGAGTTTTTTTCGATTTTCGATTTGTCTTTCAAACAATTTATGTGGCATCCATTTCTAACACTTCTGGATCTTTTCCATAACTTTCAAGCGGTCTGAAATTGTTTGCTGTGCAACATTTAAGCTGTTACATGTATTTTCTTTGGTAAAAACATCCTTATTAAATAATTTTTTCCTGTATAAAAAAATTAACATTTTATTATTACAAACAATAATATATGTATAACCAAGAAATTTTGAAATGTGTGGAAAAAAATATTTTAAACTCTACCATTGGAGCCATTAAAGGACCTTTGTAAAATATCATGAAGATCGATTAAGTTGTTCTCGAGAAATTTTGCCAACCGACATCGAATGCACAGTTTCGAGAAAAACGATTTTAAAGATTTAAGTGGGACACAAGCACAAGTTCTCAAGGCTGTATCTCTGAAAAGATTACTCGGATCAACTTGAAAATTTAGAACAATTGTCTAGAGGTGTTGCAGAATTTAAAACGACAATTAAGATAAAATTTTTTGAAATCTGTAAGACCATGCAACGCCTTAAGGGCTGTCATTTACTTTTGACTCAAAGTATCATCTTCATCGATTTTACTCGCAGTTTGGCGTTTTCAAACTTTTTTGGTGGTCTTCCACGTTTATCATTTCTCATATCAAAATTACTATCTCTAAACCGTTGTGACCATCGTTTGCATGTTCTGATAGATCATGATCACCATATGCCTTGACAAGCATTCGATGCAGCTCTCCAGTACTTTTCTCCAAATGGAAAAACGAAAATTAATGCTTTCGGCAAATCATCGCTTTTCGACGCAAAATTTGACCTTTTGATCGCAATGTAAAAATATGAACTTGCTGGTTCAATGACTGTAAGATGACAGATGCCATGCCAACCAAACAAAATAAAATTAAGTCCCGTTCACAACTAATATTTGTATCTTATCGCTAGTAACAAAACCTTTCCATAAAATAATATAAAACTTCTAATTTTCGAACACATTTTTAATCAAATTTTACTCTATTTTCAGTGCAAAGAACGAACACAGAACAGTTATATGTCAATATACAAATCTGCAAGCTAATGAATCACTCGACTTACTATCCACTGGCCGCATTACTCATACAAGCAAAACTATGAGAGAAGCATTTTCTAGAAAATTCAGCTCATTTAATATAAAACAAAACTAAAACAAGCAATACAAAAATATAAATAACGAAAAGCAACCACAACAATTCTGTGTGAAACAAAATTACGTCAACGATACAACGAAGCAATACTCAACTGTGAGCAAAACTACAAAAACAAAATCAAGTAAACAAAAAGAAGAAATAATTAAAAATTTAGATTTAGCATACAACATTGAAATTAAAACATTAGAGGCGTTAGAAATGTTTGAAAATTATAAATTTACAAGTAATAGCAAATTCACACTTATCAAATAAGTATTTGGCAATTAAGAAAATCCAAACCACGAAAGCGCAGAAAAAAAGAGTTTGAGAACAGTTAATGTGAGTAAAAGCGAGTTGTGACCTTCCACTTGAATGGTGCAAAACGAACTTGGCCAACAAAATGTCCGTCGATTGCATGCGACCCACGAGCAATAAGATCGTCATCACGCCCGGTGCAACACTGTGCTATGCCACGAACACTACAGCGCGAGTGTCGCAACAGCAACAGCAACAAATACGAACCACAGTACGACAACAAACGACGGCGGCTGTGAGATCAGCGCGCCCACAACCAAATACAACAACATGCAAAGGCAAAGCACTAGCAACGCTTAAGCCAAGCGCGCTGCTTCCGAAGCAACAGTCGACGATTGTGGTGGTTAGAAAGCCTGCCGGACCAGTTACACCGCCACTCCTACAGCCGAAAACCAAATATGCATCACTTGTACCGTTATCGCGTAGCACCAACAAGCGCTTGCGCAATGTCGGCAATCAGAAATCTCCCAAAGAGCCTGTCACTGTGGATCGCATTCAGTTTGAAGATGCCACTAGTGACTTGGAGGTCTGCAAGAGACTCGAGTGGTCAGCCGCACAATCGCTAGTCGAAATGAATGCAAAAGAGAAACAGCGACGCAGTGCTGCCGCTGTACAGGCGACTATAGAGCGGAAGCCATTGACGTCAGTGGCGACTCAAGAGGTTGCTGCAGTGCAGACACCTGTCAATGGAACCGCTTTGAGTGATACTAGTTCACACAGCAATGTTGGTAAGTAACATTATTATGTGTGGTCCGCAACCGCAATGACTCTGAGATATGCATATTACAAGAGATATGAATACACCGCCTAAACTGGTAGTACTTGCGAAATCCTCACTATCCTTTACAAGCGCGAAAGACCTCATATTGCAGTTAGATCCCTGGTTTTGCTTTCTTTCTTTGTACGAAGCTGTGTTCTTATTCCGGAAACACTCTTGCAAGACAAAAACAGTCTGATGTTGATAGATCACTCAGCTCATACTGTTATCGGCCCTTCTTAAAAATGCCGGTGTTTTTTTAGAAAGGTTCCACCTTTTTTTATAGTTTAATAAATTTCTTGATCTGTTATATCTGTTCAAGAATCAAGTATTTTTTACGGTTATGAGATCGCTTATTTAAAGATGTGCTATGATTTTATCAAAGAAGTTCTAGCTTTCATGTGATGTTTCGATTATGATAACTCTTTGGTCTTTGGACTCTCTCTCGTTTTTCTTAACCTTATTTACCGACTTTAGCATTGTATCTGTATAGAGGCAGAGATTTGACCAATGCCATCAGCCAAATGATCTCCGGCCTCTAAGCTTGAACGTTTCGTTATAAAAAAGAATCATGGATTCATATTTGGCCAAGGTCTATCAACCCTGCAGGACTTAAGAAACCCATGTAAGGCATTAAGTACCCGTTGATAAGGATACATAACTTAGAAATATTGTACGTATACTAAATCTCCGAGAATTAATTTGTTTGTTGAAGAACTATCGGAAAGACTGTTGCAGAACAGAAAAAGTCGTCAGGGTTGATTGATTCGATCTGTACGACGGAAGACTACATATTCGACTTAATTTCGGTTTAGTGCTTACTTTCACGTCAGTAACAGTCTAGACAACTATTATTCAATATTTATTCAAATACATATTTTTAATTTTTTATTGACAAGTAGAATCCAGAATGGTTTTACGCTAAAAAAAAAGGATTTACTACACACATACATACATTTATAAACATATAAACATAATCTAAATATATATATACGCTTAAATCTACATTCGCCAAACTGGCGGCTGAAACACATTTTAATTTCCGTAGAAGCGCATCAATCAGTTGCTCATAACACATCCTTAAAATGGGAGTATCTACGCAAATGAACCATTTCGTACCTGTACAAATAGTAATTGGGGGAATTGACCAATTGTTGGGTTGTTGGTTGGGCGCTGTTAATTGCATTGCATATTTGGATTTAAAACTTTTATGTACCTTACTTAAATCCTTAAATGCTCCAGCCAAGAGAATTAAACCGAAGCGGGCATGACCGTATCCAATGAGCTTAAAAAGTGTGTCTATTCATCTTCATATGCTTCAGCTTATTTTTTAATGATAACTACCAGTACGGAATTGGTCATAAACGTAAATGTTCAAAAGTATTTGAAAGCAATTAAAAGTTGAAGTGCTTATGGATTAAGAAGATATTGAAAATGCAAAATTTGGAAAATTGCCATTAAAAGGCATTTTATTAGGACATTGCCGACGATGCTCACCGTCGACGGGTGGAGGTAGGTGCCGATGGTTTTAATTTTTTAAATGAAAGTGCAAATGGAATAGCGCAGCAGCAATTTTATACATTATATGTGTAGTTCGTGAACTCACATCTATAAAGACCTTGTATGACTTCGGAAATGAGAACGAATGTATGAAAATCCTGACGTGGGTTAACAAACTGTGTAGGCATATTAAAAATAGTCATTTAACGATTATTTGAGATATTATCATTTTTATTTGGTACAAAGTACAAAGAAAATAAGAGGCAGGTTAATTGAGAGTAATTTTTAGAAGCTTTGGGTATGCACTTTTTTTGTAAGGAAGTGAGCTCAATTAAAAATTTGCTGAAACGCTTTAACAGCATCTGTTTTACGAGATTTTGGATGTGTTTGTTTGAAAATATTTTTTTTCTTTGTTTTTTTGTTACAACTATATTTAGATTGTAGGGTTCAAAGGTAATAGACGTGGGACATTTGGACATGTTTGAGTTCATTTCCATAATTTTTTTTTTTTTTTTGGCACGAAACGGCCATTTCCTTATGAGGCCAGCTGTAGTCTTAGAAGGTGGAAATAACTGAATATTCAAAAACAGATAACTCTTTACTAAACGGTACAACCGTTCAATTTTACGGACAAATCATACTTCGAACTAAATATTATAGAATCAATTGGCAACATTTATAGAATAATAACAATATATATAGTGGATGGGTCTGATTGTGAACGAGGATAGATTAGATTAGACAAGTGAGTATGGATTGCACCGCGACCTAGGGTCTATTGTGTCTTCTTCAAGATCACAACGTCTCAGCTAGCCCTAGCAAATTGATATAGTCCGATATACTGATAGGTATAGGGGATCACCATTTGGAAATATGGATCCAAGGGTCTTTATCTTGCGCCTACATACTGCTGTGCAGTCAATTAGCAGGTATTCTGGTGTTTCAGACTCCAAGTCGTAGTATGTTAAATAAGTTTTTCTTGAACTTACAATGACCAGTGTAGAAGACAAGGAGCCTGAATTTTTCCCTTGTTAGGTTGATTATGTATTTAAACCTTTTCAAGTTGTAATCACCCATTAACAACTTGGCATGACGCATGCCTAGGAGTCGTTGCCAATGCTTCTCCCTACCCACTGTTCCATTATTGCTTAGCGGCTTCTTTATGGTGTGGGACCAACTGCAATGAAAGGTTCCCGTCATATCATCCATGTTGGTGGAAACTGCGGAACGAGCAAGCTCATCAGCCAGTTCATTCCCGGCTATACCTTTGAGACCTGACACTCAAATAAGGCAAACAGTCGCTACACTCCCGACTTGGCTCCCACGTCACTGTTGAGAATAAAAGCTTTGAAGTTTCCCAACAACAATATCACAGGTGCTACTTCGAACTGAGTAGGCAATTGAAAAGTAAAGCCTAAAGACAAACCAAGGCTCTCATAATTCCCGTCCTGCTATATGCTGCGGAGGCAAGGTCCTTTGCACATTGGCAAAGAGAATACCGTAGTCGTTGAAACAAGGAGATATTATACATTAGCATAGCTAAATGAATCAATAGACAGAGGATGTGATTGCTAGCATAGGTAAAGAAGAAGAAAAATCTCTATAAAAATTTGGACCCAAAAAACGCCTTAACTTTTCAGAGTTCAAACTGTTCGATCAAAATCAAGAAAAAAAAATCTTTTTACACCCTTTTATACCATGAGAAATACTAACGTGAAGAATATTAAAGCTCGGTATGGGCGAAGTTAACATTTTTTTTATTCATAAAGCATTATGATATGCGATAACACAGGTATGCCGTAGAACTATAGCATATGTATGTTTATAAAACTATATAAATAGTGATCCATTTCGAGGTTGCCTATTTTTTTTTCAAGAAAAAACACAATAACTTCCCATTTAGTGTGGAATGTTTATTAAAATTCGATTGAAAATTTTTTGGCATTTATTTTTTGAAGATTATCTCTTTCAAATGTTGGCCGCGGCTACGACTCAGATGGTCCATCCATTGTGTCTAATTTTCGACGACTCGTTCGAGCATTTCGACTGATAACTGGCGAATCACAAGCGTGAGGTTTTTCTCCAAAGTCTTGTCTGAATCGAAGCGGAATTGTTCGCATAAACTTTAGATTTTACACATATTCACAGGAAAAACGTTCTATCTAACGTTGTGATATCACACTCTTGGTGATCAATGGACCAGCCCAAAACTATCTGCTCACCGAAATGTTCTCCCAATAAATCTATTGATTGATGCGATGTTTGTCAAGTGACGTCGTTTTGTTGAAATCAAATGTCGACGAAAACACGAGATTCAATTTCAGGCATCAAATAGTCGTTTATCATGGCACTATAATGGTCACCATTGCCTTCTTTTTCCTGAATGAAATAATAATTTTTGAATCTCTTCAGATTGCTCTTCGTCCTAAAAGCAGGAATTTTGCTCATTTACATACCCATTGAGCCGGAAATGGGCCTCATCGCTGAACGAAACTTTATCTCGTCGGATCTTTGAGTGCTTGGACGGTCGAACCGTTTCAGTTCTTGCACAATCTATATTTTCTACGCTTACAATAGAAGTTTTCGACATAAAATGCGCAAAGTCGTGCCATACGGCAGCCCAAATTGCTGCGAACGGAGTCGAATCGACTCCACACGACCTTCGTAAACACTCTCTGCTATATTTTTTTCACTTCGTGTAGGACGAGGTCTATTCGGTCGAACAATATCTAATGGTGAATGATGTTTACGAATATTAAAGGCTTGACACGCCTCATGCGTTCTTTGTCAAAAAGCCTATTGAAAAAGTACCTCTACTTGGATCACCTATTAGTATATGTACAAATATGGTATATGTATGGCGCATAATGCAAACGTTTTAGTCGAGATATCATGATTAAAACTGCAGTTGTATTGGGAAATTATTTAAATTAAGTGCTCAACAATGACTAATAAACTGCGCCACTTTCAACAATCTAAACACATACATACACACACACACACATGTGGGGTTGATGATTTCATCTAACCGCCGCGAAATAATGATTTCACCACATSCACACAAAAATAGTTATTAGGCGCATGCAATTTGGGGCAGTGTGGGGGGGTGCGTTTGGCAAGTAACCGCGCAGAAGAATTATTTGCTTTGACACGATGCGCGTGCCTATGCAGATTAGGCCACACGCACACCAATAGAGAGGGGTACGCGCTTGGCCACTAACTGCATAAACATTTGGAGCAGTGTGCGCCATTTTAATCGCCTCGAAATTATGCGAAATATTCGCATACGCTTCATATTTTCACAGCTGCACAATAGATAATCGCCGGCAAACACAGAACGCTTCCCCGCACATGTGCGTGTGTGTGTGTGTGTGTATTAGTGCGCTCGCAGTGTAGTCGCATAGGCTTAAGCCAACACAAACACACACACTTGTGCAAATTTGTATATTTTGAATTTCGCACACCTTAGTT